TGTCTTTCTCCTACTGTTTGATCCCAATGAGCAGCCGAAAGCAGAAATCAAAACAGGCGCACGAAAGTGCATGGTTAACGTTTGCAAAAACTGAAACTGAAATTGTATGCAACTACCGGCTTTGCATTCGTCTTTTGGTTACCCATTTGGATGGAGTACAGGAAAGGACAGAAATGCTGGCATTATTGTGAACATAGAATTTACACAGACGGATATTTCAAAGATATTGAATAAACGCGTGAATACCACTGTTTAGGACATTTAGCTGTTGCTGTGTGTCTAGCCAGTGATCCCGAGGTCTCAATCCAGGAAGACCAGCGAGATCTAGCTTTGATAGTAGGCAGCTGCCCTGCCGTGTCCTGTGAACATGTTTATCCCATTGCAGTTCTACGTAGTCCCATAGATTAAATCCTCATGACTATAGATTACAGTTATTTTACTATTCATTACATACAGACTTAAATAAATTACGATGCCAGTATGAAGATGCATTTGAAAAGAAATAAAATAGTAACCTGCCTGTCATCGTATCTAGCCTAGTAATTGGTTCCTCCATTCGAACTACCTCAGGAGCAGCACGCTGTCCCGCCACGGTAAGGTACGTTGCATAGGCTTGTGCAGCTGAGGTATGCAACGTGTATTGTCTTTGCGTCAGTTCGATTGTTAAGTGATGCAATGATTCCAACAGATCTACTGGAATCGGTGAGGACGGAGGGAATAATTGAGGTAATGTTTGATGAAGATGCTGACTCAGCAGCTTGCAGATCTGAAAAACAAAGAGAATGAACTGGTTAGCAAAAGAATTAATAAATATTNAATATTGGCCCTAATCGGTTTACGGTAAACAGTCTTATATATTTTTTACATAGCATTACATTAGTGTTTTCTTTAATGTCCCAATGTGCTGCAGACCAATACAAATTAAAAGCCAGCGGAGCTACTGGGAGTATTTCCAGATCGCGGTTAGGTGAACAGCCAGTTCAGCTTTCAACCGTGAATAGGTGGGTGTGGTTCCACTGAACAGCAAGTCGCGGAAGATCGTAACGATGGTCGAGGATATGACGGGGGCATGTTCCGACTTCTCACCAGAGACCCGTCACCCAAGGCGTGCACTGAATTACTCCGATAGAAGTTTATGCTCTGAATCGACAAGAAACAGTGCGGATCGAGGCTAGATAATGTGATACGTGACCGATTACAACTGTTGAATAAGTTCGATTAAATTTGAACTCTGGACAAGCGACTGAGCTCTGGTGTTACCTGTACGTGGTCGCCCTTTGGGTGGGGGTCGCTGGTACTCATCTGTACCTTTGATCCAGACGATTCATCTCCCTTGAAAAACCGAAATACTTGACAATATTGTGGCACAAAATTCACTGATTTCTACGTTACCATTGTACGCCGGACAACCTTCACATGTTAGCATTACAAACTCAACAGGATAGGTGTGTGGGCGTTGAACAGTAGAAAGTACAAGTCCATCTACCCTTTAGAACAAATTCCATGCAACGGAAGACAGTATCACACTGAAGTTCGAATTGATTTGACTTGACCGATATTTCTAACCGGCGATATGGAGCCTTAAGCCTATTGCACACTTGAGGGGGGGAGGCACTTTATGGTGAACAGACTACGGAGCCAACTCATCCTCAGGTGGAATGTATTAGTTCAAAAGTAAAAGTTAAGCAAAATTCAGGTCTTAATTAGTTCGAGTCAGACCTATTATGCTGTGGCACACAGTATTTTGTATCAACCCGAGCAAAAACAAAATTTAAAAAGGCTACTGAATTACGAAGTGAATGCAAACGCAAGCAGTGAAAAAGGAGTATCCTTCGGTTAACTATCGTTAAGATCCGTGGTTACCTTAATTGAAGGTCGTAACACACAATAGGCACACTTTAATGGAGCCGTGCATGTCTGTGTATGTATATACTGTGAGCGAAAACATTGTAAGTGAAACCCGGGAGTACGTTCAACAACAATATATGGTAAATCGAATGAGATAAAACAGACTTCACTCCGCGATTAGAGGCGAAGCATGTATTCCAAGACAGTAGGGAGTAGGAGAGAAAGATATAAATGTTGACGGCAATTACGAAGTTTGGAGGCGAAGAGGTTCTCACATATGCAGCGGAAACAAACGTTAACATTGAGCTAAATGTGCTTACCAGTGGGTCTGTTTCATCATCTGGACACAATTTTGTCAATCGCAAATTGGGTAACAAACCGCCATGAGCTTTGTAGTCGGTCGCTTCATCACTGACGACCGCATTCTTCGATAACGATCGGCTTTGGTCAGGCGTAAGAAACGTGAGCAGCGAAGCGATAAGCATCGGCACAACTGCTTCAGCTTGGGTACGGCTCTCATCAACAGAAGTTATTGTATCTTGGAGACCGTGTTGTTTGAGGGCGGTTGAGACCAGGCGGTAGTCATTTGCCTGAAGAACGGGACAGGCGGTAGATTCTATCGCTGTCTGCGGGTCAGTCCAATTGCCTGGCTTAAGTAGCATATTCACTGCCATGACCCGTGTTTGCTCCACCTGATCAAAAAAGTAGATTAGTCGAAGAAAATTGCACAAAACTGCTACTAACCAAAATGCCAAACTAAAAATTAAACATACATTCAAAGAAACGGTTGGTAGCACAATCCAATTAGCCATTTCAGGTCGTGTGTATTGCGACAGCGTTCGTTCAGTCCTGCTTNGTCGATTTGAATCCAGTACTGTGAAGAGGTTCACTTTCTTTACGTCCCTCCAGTTAGGCCCATCACTACGAGACTACACCTTGACGTGGTGTGATGGCTTGTGCACCTCTGTGACCCAACGAGCTATACAGGATTACTTTATAAAGCTAGGAGATCTTATCATGCCTGGAAGGTCAATGGGTAGAGGTCAGACGAAGTTCAGTTTCCTGGTCCTCCAGGTTGGGGGTTCGCCTGGAATTTGGCGTTTCAGTCGATAAAAAGCGGTGGAGGGGTAATTGATCCAAGTAAATGGGCCTCCACTTCGCCTCACCCACTGCCTTGCGGTTAGGTTCTTGTTAAAACTGAAGGCTTTGGACGAGAACCCTAATCATTCTCCTGCTTAGTGGCTGGACACCCTAACAGTACCCGTCCACCAAACCCCAATGCGAGCGTGCGTGTGGCCTGACTCGGAGGCGTGCGTGATCGGACGGGTTGCTTAGACTCCGTCCTAACACGTAGTTTAGCCCATGTTGCACAAAACTGCCACTAACCAAAATGCCAAACTAAAAATTAAACATACATTCAAAGAAACGGTTGGTAGCACAATCCAATTAGCCATTTCAGGTCGTGTGTATTGCGACAGCGTTCGTTCAGTCCTGCTTTATGGTTGTGAGACCCTGGAATTGCTAGTGGAAGATATCCGTCGACTGGAAGTTTTCCGTTATCGCTGTTTACGTAGTTTAGCCCATGTTGGATGGAGCGAACGGGTTAACAACGTAGAGGTAAGCCGTCGTGTGTTTGGGAGTCTGTCAGGCATAAACCTCCTAGCACATCGAATCCAGATTACTAGGCTTCGTATGCGTGTGCCCAGCTGTCGTCTGCCGCACCGCGCTTTATTCGCTGTAGCTAATCCGGGCTGGAAGAAACCACGTGGAGGTCGACAGATGACGTGGAGACGAGGCATGAAAAAATGCACAGAGCCATTAGATAGAATGGGTGTCTCTCGCCTTCCAGGTTGGGGTCCGAAAGACTCCACAACTGGTTGTTTGGAGACATTAAAGGATATGGCAGTGAACCGGTAGCGGTGGCGTTCTTGTTGTCATTTCTTATCAAGTTAGAATGTTTGAAGCGGTATGTATGCAGGGTTCGATTGCGTACTGTGCTGACCATAGAGGTTCACCTTCTCCCTCCTCCCTTAAAATAGGTCCAACCCCTGTCTACCTTAAATTTTACCACTAACCTTGTATGCATTGAGTTTGGCAGCGGTCAGTGAAGTTCGCTTCACTGTATTTCGCTGTACGATGATAATGATGATGGATGACTCCAGCTAGGCCCAATCCCTCTCCATCTTGTACTTTATCACTTGATTTGTGTAGATTGTGAGCTTGGCAGCGATCAGTGAAGTTCGCTCCACTGTATCCCGCTAGCGATGATGACGATGATGATGAACAAGCGGCCCCACAGAATACTTCGATTAGTTATGTAAATCGAAACAGCTATTCAGGCGGATTGACAACAGGAAATGAACTAGTCGACTGTGAAGCTACGATTAGTAAACTGAACAACTTTAGGTTGACATTTTAAAAGCAGAGATCAAGTGAGATGTTACTTGATTGATTCAGATACCTGAATCCCTCCCGACATCATATCAAGGTAATCAAACAAGTGATTTTGGACATGAGATTGTCGTGGGCAACAGCTAAAAAGGGTGAAGCAACGGCAAGTTCCAAAATCAACCGAATTTTGAGTACTAAAAACAAGAGCCAACTATAGTACGTAGAGCATCACATAGTGTATGCATTCAACTCCAATTGGTTGCCTTGTGACTATCAATGCCTAAGGCACGACTGCATTAGTTTCTTATCAATGACATCACAAGAAACAGATTGTTCTTGTACCCGGGATCACACTAGGAGACGCAGTAAACAATCAATGGAGAACAACAAACTGCACGTGGATAAAAATAAACAGTGAACAGTCCTTTTTAACCAGACAATTGCACAATGAAATCCTGTATTTATTGAAAAACATATCGAGTTACCATAGTCTGACCACGAGTGTAGCACCAACTAGCCATGCGAAGCCATGCAGCTGATGATGAACCGGTCGGGGCCAGTCGTGTGGCCATCATCAGGAGACGACTGAGCCAAACACTATGATTGTCGTGCATTATGTGGGAACTTGACTGCCCGGACGACTGTAAATTTGGTGGCAACTCTGCCGAGGGAACCAGAGGTAAGCCATTCACCCAAGGCTCATCCACCAACCGGCTGAAGAAGTTCAGATTATCGGAAACAGAGCG